GCTGAGCCCGCCGCCTCCGGCGCTGCAGGTTTTACCCCGCTCCCGGGCGCGTGCAAGTTATTTTAAAGCAAAATTTCAGAGCTATTAATTAAATCCTGATTTTTAAGCGTCGGGGTAATTAAAACCTATTTCCGCTCAAATTTATTCAGCCGTGAAGTTCTCATCTGCCATCCCGGAGCCAAACCGGCAGCTTCAACTCAACCCCCTCTTTAATTTCATTATTTTTTGTTAGGTAAATCCCCCCGAATTTAGGGCTGGAATTTTAAATAGGATTTTTAAAAGCTTTGGAAAATTCAGAGGTTTAATTCCAGCTCCTGGAAGAAATAAAGCTTCGGGGTTTATCACTTGGATGATGATCCCAAGTCCTTTCCCAACGCTACCTTGGATCCGGAGAGGACGGCCCCAAAAAGATGGATCAGTCGGAGCTGGAGCGTTTCGGGGAGCTGCGCTCCCGTTTGGAAACTCTCTGCGAGGATGAGGAGGGGGGAAGATTGATTTCGGGGAGGAAGCAGTGAACAAAAATAAAAAAAGGGAAAATAAAAAAATCCCTTTTCTGCCCAAATCCACTTCAAAACTCAGCCCACGTGGGCGCTGGACGCTGTCGATGACGGAGCGGATGAGGATGCTCAATTTTTTTGCGGCTCTGGTTGCGGCACGGGAGCTATTTTTAACCCCCCCAAAACAGGGTTTTGCCCAAAAATAGGGTTCGCTTGGGGGATTTACGGGCGGTTGGGTGCGTCGGGAGTTTTAGGTGATTTTTTGCAACGCCTTTGCCTTGGGGTGGGGGTTTTGGGGGGGTTTCCCCAGAAAAAAAAAAGAGAAAAAAATCCCCCTTTGCATTGATTTTTGCGGGCTCCTCAGGTCATGAAGGACTTGATCCCCGCTTCGGGATCCTATACCTGCCCCCCCCCGTACGTGCCCCCGGGCACGTAGGGGGTCCTGGGGGCAGGTATAGGATCCTATATTTGCCCCTGAATCATACAACAATACTGGAGCAGGTATAGGATCCTATATTTGCCCTTCCCTATGGGTCCTGGGGCAGGTATAGGCTCCTACACTTACAGGGGCAGGTATAGGATAACCAGGGGCAGGTATAGGCTCCTATATTTGCCCCTCACTACGGGCACATATGGGGTCCTGGGGCGGGTATAGGACCTTTTATTTCCCTCGAATCATATACAGACCCTAGGGTAGGTATAGGATCCTATATTTGCCCTCGAAGCATATACTGATCCAGGAGCAGGTATAGAATCCTATATTTGCAGGGGCAGGGATACGATAACCTGAGGGAGGGGTAAGGTACTGTTT